GCAGCTGGTTGTGCCCGGAGCCGAATCCCAGGTCTTCCAGGAAGGAGTTTTGAGATCGAATTTCACGGGAGTGGGTCATCTATGTTTATAAAGTGGAGATGGGGTTGAGGAAGGGGTGTTTTTGGTGGCAGAACCCGTCTGTCAGAAGCTGGACGTAACAGCTTCTAGTTGGTGCCGACACTGCACAAAGGCATTTTTCGGAACGCACCGGAGTCGTCCGAACATGCCTGGCCTGGAGTGTCTTGTCGCGGACGAGTCCGCTGGTGGTAAAGGAGTAGTGTCGCCACCCTGCAGGAGGAGCGCGCCTGCTCCCTCCTGCCCGGCCCGCGGTTTGGCTCTGCGTGTCCGAGAAATTTATGGTAATGGCTAACGTTTATTGAGGGTTTACTGTGTGCGAGGCACCGAGCTGCTTATTTCATATTATCCCATTTAATCTCACCTGCAGGATAAATATTATGATTTCCATTTTATTGTGATGAAACCGAGGTACAGAGAGGTCAGGTCAGGCTCCCAGGGCCATAAAGTTAGGAGGTGGCGAAGCCGGATTGGCACCAGCTTCGCACCTGCCGAGCACATGTTCCAGACCCCTCGCCCCGTTTCCCCAGTGTCCTCCTGCATTCTAGGTTGTTGTAGGTCCTACAGTTTCATTATTTTTTGCTCTTCTGTTTCCAGAAATTAAGCGTATTTCATATGACTCATTCCTGGGTGGTGGATATAGTAGTAGATTCTCATATTTTATTATACGTATTAAAAGTCTATAAAACAAGGGTTTGTAATGGTTATGTTTGCCTGAAAATTTGCTGATATAGCTCTGTGAGCCTATTGCCAGAGAGGTGTGCTTTTAAAGTGAACAATCACTGACTTACCCACTCCACCCTGCCATGTTCATTTAAGTGAAAGGGTTTTTTTTGTTTGTTTTTGTTTTAAAACACCAGAATTTTCGTGCTTTGTGGCAGTGTGCTTTAAGTAGTAATGAAAGTCTCTCCTGACTGTCATAACCCCAGCCCAAATGCATTTTGCTTTGAATTCTTAATCCCTTAAAAATAAAGTTATAAATGTAAGGTTAGTGTATCCGATTCTGCTTGGTGCTGTGATACAGAACGATGAGGGAGTTTGACAAGGTGACCTAGGATAGGAGGGAGCTGGGCCACATAGCTCCTCTGTGTCTTGGTCTACCTTGTAACTCACCAGTTCTCTTGGACTTTTGCATGTTTCTGCCTCCCATCCTAAGTTCCGGATCCTGAACAGTTCTGTATCAGACTCAACACAATGCCAAATGCATAGGAACTACTTAATAAGCATTGTGAATGGGTTTTAGTATAGAATTGCATTTACTTATTTTTTAAAGGTTTATTTATTAGAGAGCACAAGTGTGGGGGTGGGAGGGGCAGAGGGAGAGAGAGAACCTCAAGCAGACTCCCTGTGAGCACAGAGCCGGATGCAGGACTCGATCCCACAGCTCCGAGATCGTGACCCGAGCTGAAATCCATAGTCGGGTGCTCAATCGAATGAGCCAACCAGGTGGCCCCTGAATGGGTTTTAGAATTTTAAATTGTTCAGCTAAGTTAATGAGAGATTCACTGATCTGTGTAAAGACAACACTTTTTTTTCTTGAGAAGTAGTTTTTTATTGTCTGGAATTCATTTTAGTCATTTAGCATTTTATTTTAAAGGCATTTGTATGGCCACTAACTCTTCTTCAGCTAAACTTATTTTGGGATAACTGTAGATTCACATGTGGCTGTGAGAAATGATGGCGATTTCCCGTGTCCTCCATTTTCCCCACCGGTAACATCCCGTAAAAGCCCCAGTACAGCATCAGCCCAGAATACTGAGCTTGATGTAGTCGAGATACACAACGGTACCGTCGCTACAAGGGTCCTTCTTCTTGCCCTTCACAGCTACGCCTCCTCCCTCCCTCCCACCTCACCCCTCCTTAACCCGTGGCAACCACTAACGGTTCTCCGTCTTTGTAATATTGTCATTTCAAGAATGTTCTGCAAATGGCATCATAGAGCATGTCTTCAGAGATCGGCTGATTTCATCCAGCCTAACTGTCTGGAGATGCATCCAGGCGGTCGCGTGACTCAGCACTTCAGTCCTTTTTATTGCCGAGCAGCCTCCAGGGTGTAAGTGTAGCACACGGTTCATTTAACTGTTTACCTGCTGAAGGGCATCTGGGCTGTTTCCGGTTTGGGGCTGCTCTGAATACAGCTTCTGTAAACATCCATGCACAGACTCCGTGGGAATGTGACTTCTCATTCCCCTGGGGTAAGTGTCCAGGAGTAGAGTTGCTAGGTCAGATGCTAGCTGCATGTTAGTTTTTGAAGAAACTGCCAAACTGTTTTCCACAGGCGCTGTACTGTCTTACACGCCTACGAGCCGTGTAAAAGTAATCAAGTTTCTCTGCATGCTCACCAGCATGTGGCGCTGGCACTATTTTTTTTTTTTTTTAAGCCATCCTGGTAGTGATCTCATTGTGGCTTTAATTTGAATTGCCCTGATAAAATGATTTTGAACACCTTTTCATGTGTTCATTGGCCATTGTGTATCCTCTTTGATGGATTGTTTGTGTCTTTTGCTCATGTCTAATGGGAGTGTTTGCTTTTTGCTGTTGAGTTTTGAGAGTTTATATATTGTAGATACTAGTCCTTTGTCAGATACATGGTTTGAAAATATGTACTCTCACTCTCTAATTTATCTTTCAGCCTCTCAACAGGGTCTTTTCCACAACAAAAGCTTTTAGTTGTGATGGAGTCTATAAGTTTTTTCTTTAACGAATCATGCTTTTTGGTAACAGTGTGAGAACTCTTTGCTTGGCCTTAAATTCCAAAGATTTTCTCCCAGGTTTTTTCCTAAAAGTTTTATAGTTTTACATTTTATATTTAGGTCAATGATCCATTTTGAATTAATTTTTGTATAAGATAGGAGACTTAGGTCAAGATCCCTTTTTTCTCCTGTGGATATCCAATTGTTCCAGTGCCACACGTTGAAAGATTCTATTTCCTTCATTGAATTGCTTTTATACCTTTGGCAAAAATCAGTTGGGCAGGGGCGCCTGGGTGGCTTAGTCGGTTAAGCAGCTGACTTCAGCTCAGGTCATGATCTTGGGGTCCTGAAATCGAGCCCCATGTCGGGCTCCCTACTCAGGGGGGGTTGTCTGATTGTCCCTCTCCTTCTCCCTCTGCCCCACACTCTGCTCATGCTCTCTGTCTCTCTTTCAAATAAATAAAAATCTTTAAAAAAAAAATCAGTTGGGTATATTTGTGAGGGTCTTTTTCTGGATTCTTCATTCTGTTCCATTGGTCTATGTATGTCTGTCCTGCCAATACCACACAGTCTTGATTACTGTAACTATATAATAAGTCCTGAAATTGGATAGACTGATTCCTCCCTCTTTATTCTTTTCTAAAAAGATGTTTTAGCTATTCTAGTTCCTTTGCCTTCCATATAAATTTTAGGATAATCTTGTCTACATTTCCAAAAAATTTGGTTGGGATTTTGATAGGAATTTTGTTAAACTTGTACATCAATTTGGGGAGAATTGGCATCTTTACAATATTTGAATCTTGCAGTTGGGGAACATGGTATGTCTCTCCATTTATTTAGGTCTGCTTTGATTTCTTTCATCCACATTATGTAATTTTCAGTACACAAGTTCTATACGTATTTTGTTATATTTACACCTAGGTATTTCTCTCTTTTGTTTACATATACAATTGTAAATGACACTGTTTTTAATTTCAGTATCCATGTGTTGACAGTATGTAGAAATATAATTGATTTTTATATGTTTATCTTGTATCCTGCAACCTTGATGAACTCTTACTAGTTTATGAATTTTACATTTCTACTCCTGTTTATTTAACAGTTTCTGTGTGCCAGGCATCACATTAAGGCTTTCCATATGCTTGCCAAAGCCCAGTAGCTAGTGGAGCTAGAATCTTGACAGGTAGATTATTTCCTCACTTCATTTGTTCGTTTGATAAATGTCTAAGGAGAACCTGTGTGGGCCACGGTGGATCCAGACACAGGGTTCCTGCCCTCCTGGAGCCTACAGTCTGAACCTGACGTTAGAAGTAACACAAATGGTTGTGAACTTAATAAAACAAGTTAATTATAATTTAATTAACAGCATTCGACTCATACTGTAAGTGGCTAAAGCAGTGACACCTTAACCAGCCTAATGGAGTGGGAGCCTCCAGGGAGGGCCTCCTAAACGATGTCCATTTACTAGGAAAGGTTTTCCAAGAAGCCAAACTACTCATTGCTTCTTATCAACTTACATCAGTTTTTGAAGTTCAGAGGTCTGTGATAAAAGCTCATGTGAAGAGAATTCCTGGCCAAAACTGAATGAAGTTCTCAGTTGCCTCTTTCTCCTTACCGCACCCCTCCGGCCCCCTTGCCAGTGGTTCCCGCCGAGGGCACCAGGCCTCCTCGCCCTCCAGACCAGCCGGCTCCGTCCAGCTCTTCCTATTCAGTGGGCCCTCTGCCCGGCTTGGTGTTGTCCACCATGTCCTCCTTTGCGAACCTCTCGTCCCTTCACTCCCACATCGCTCTGGAGGGTTTCTTTCCCCCTTTTGCAGGTGAGATGGGTTGCAGAGTCCTTTGAGATGGAAAGGAGGTCCATTCAAGGAGTGAGATACAGGGTCAGGGCCCCTTTCGGCCAGTCTGTCTGGGAAAATCATCAGTGTCCCTCAGCTTTGGTAACAGTAACTACAATAAGTTTCTGGTCAGTTGGGAAATAGATCTTACTGTATAGAAATGTGCCTCTCCGACAGCCTTCCAGGTGAAGACCCCTCTACCTCTGAGAAGGGAAGGGATGGACCGTCACTGGGCACCGTGTACGTTCCCGCACAGTGCTTGGCACCTTGGGGCTGCTGCTGGCCCGAGCCAGTTCTGTCCCCACTCCCATGTCTTTCCACCCTCAGGAAGTCCCGGTCCTGCCTTAGGGCTGAGGATGCTTCTTCCTTCTCTTCCCGTTTTCCCCACTGACTGTAGGAGAAATCGCTTGTCTTTGAGTCAGCGTGGAAGAAGGAGAAGGACATCGTTTCCAAGGAGATCGAGAAGTTACGTGTGTCCATCCAGACCCTGTGCAAGAGCGCGCTCCCCCTGGGGAAGATCATGGACTACATCCAGGAGGACGTGGACGCCATGCAGAACGAGCTGCAGCTGTGGCACAGTGAGAACAAGCAGCACAGGGAGGCCCTGCAGCAGGAGCAGAGGTGGGCGGGGCCGGGGCGGGGGCTCTGCAGCAGGTGCGGAGGTGGGCGGGGGCGGGGCCAGGGCAGGGGCTCTGCAGGAGGAGCGGAGGGGGCGGGGCCAGGGTGGAGGGCGGGGCCAGGGCGGGGGCGGGCCTCTGCGGGAGGAGAGGTGGGCGGGGCCGGGGCGGGGGCTCTGCAGCAGGTGCAGAGGGGGCGGGGCCAGGGCGGGGCGGCTCTGCGGAAGAAGGAGAGGTGGGGTGGGGGGGCGGGGCCGGGGGGTGCTCTGCAGAAGGAGGAGAGGTGGGCGTGGGCGTGGACGGGGGGCGCAGGGAGCCCAGCGGGGACACCTCCCCAAAGGAAGTGTTTTCCTTCCTCAGTCGTCCGCACAGGGCACATCTTTGCATCAGTTAGGAAAGATTTGGAGTTAATGTTCACGCAAGTAGATACAGGCAGTAAACAATACGGAGAACTTTGTTTTATGTGTCTTATCAAAATCCCCAAAGTTTGGTAACTGTACTTGAAAGTATTTTAGTTTTTTACTCTGAAAAGAAATAAATGCTGATGAGCCCATTTTGAAATTGCTACTGTAAAGGAAATATAATACCCACTAAAAAGAGATTTACTTTAGGGAAATGATTGATGTTCTTTGTTTATAATCAGGGAATCTGGAATGCATGAAACTATCAGTTGTTAAGGGTTTGTCAGAAAACGACGTGAGCGGACAGGGTGCTCGGTCTGTAAGCCCAACGGGAAAACACTGTGATAATGAAGCGGCTATCTTATTAGCCTGCTTGCTCCCAAAACGTCCCTTAAAAGCGTAAGTGTCCAGCAGAAGAGGAGTTAGGAAATCGCCGTGAACTTTTTGGGGCCAAGCCCAGCACGGTGATTTGTTGGCACTTCCTACAGTTGATTTAAGGTACTGAAAAGTAGCACCCAGATGGTTCTTCCTTACAGAACCTGAGTTTGCTTTGTGGCAGGATGGTTGGAAACTGTCACTCTTCTTCGTTTTTTTTGTTTGTTTTGTTTTTTATGTAGAGTCTTTTAAAAAATACTTATTAGAGCGCCCACGAGCAGGGGGAGCGGTAGGCAGAGACAGAGGGAGAAGCAGGCTCCCCGCTGAGCAGGGAGCCCAATGTGGGGCTCCATCCCAGGACCCTGGGATCATGACCTGAGCTGAAGGCAGACGCTTAACGACTGAGCCACCCAGGCGCCCCATCACTCTTCTTTGTATTTATTTTGTATTTATATGCTTAAAAAAACTAAAGAAAAGGCCAGTTTGACCTCTGCTTTCCCAAATACGTTCTAGATTTTTCCTGGCAGGTAACCTAGCACTGAAAGGCCTCACACCTCGAACTCGTGAGTTGGAGGAGCCTGGGTGGAGCGCCCTGGCAGCTGGAGGAGCCTCCCTGAGGAAGGTGGGGGGCATGTCGGGCTGCTGGGCCCGTGGCCCTTGTTGGTGGCCGTGCTGCTCGCCTCCCGAGGGCTCTGTGACATGTGATGTGGGGCTTTAGGAATAGTAGGCTCCTTTGTGTGATGCATGTTTGGCTTCACTTTTGGCTGTGGGGCGGTAAAATAACGTTTTTCCCAGGTGTGAGGTCCTTGTCCCTTTATATCATTATCCGAGTATGTTTATATTTTTACCCTTTTTCTTTGGATGCTGTGAATAACTTGCTTTTGTCTTCTTTATTTGTTTCAATCAAGAAGCAAATCTAGGGGCCCCTGGGTGGCTCAGTCGTTAAGCGTCTGCCTTCGGCTCAGGTCATGATCCCAGAGTCCTGGGATCGAGCCCCGCATCGGGCTCCCTGCTCGCTGGGAAGCCTGCTTCTCCCTCTCCCGCTCCCCCTGCTTGTGTTCCCTCTCTCGCTGTGTCTCTCCGACTGTCAAATAAATAAGTAAAATCTTTTTAAAAAAAAGCAGCAGCAAATGTAAGCCGAGGCTGGTGCTCACAAGGCCCCGTGTTGTGTCCCGCCAGCATCACGGATTGTGCGGTGGAGCCCTTGAAGGCCGAGCTGGCCGAGCTGGAGCAGCTGATCAAGGACCAGCAGGACAAGATCTGTGCTGTCAAGGCCAACATCCTGAAGAACGAAGAGAAGATTCAGAAAATGGTGTACAGTATCAACCTGAGTTCGAGAAGGTGAAAGCTCACACGTTTCCAAAGCTGGAAGTCCTCCTCGGTCTGAAAATAAAAAGGAAGATAGAACGTCACTATTCTCTAAGTTCAGTTTCCTAAGAAAATGAAGTTCTCCGTGTCCTCCGTCCGAAGTGCAGAGCTTTGAAAGCGCAGGCACGTCTCTGTGTAGAGGGGCCGGGTTCTCTCCCCTTCCTCCAGCGGGAGCTTTGCCTGCCGTGCAGCGTGTTCTCTGCGTCTCGAGGCGGCCTGTCCTGCTCAGGTCTGTGCCAGAATTCGCTAGCAGGCACGTGCAGGTGGCACGCAAGGGATGCGACACCCTCGGTTTCAGGTTTTAGGTCTGGTGACGGGACCCTGAGGGGAGCAGAGTGAAGGATGGCTCCCTTCTGATGGGCACTTACAAACAGAATGGGGCCTGAATATGAGTCTGCTCTATTTTGAGTTCATTTCCCCTCCGAAAGGGTTCATTTCAGTCTGTATCTTGATAAGGTTCACCTGAGGCTTTTTTTTTTTAAAGCTCTTTGCAACTGTGTATGTCTCTTTGTCATTTTCTCATTGGTCCCTACGGCCTCTTGCTTGTGTTTGCAGCCTTAAAGTTCATAAATTGAAGGAGATTTCAGTATGTCCTTCAGGGACATTCGGCCCCAGGGTTTTCCCCATGTGGGTAGCAGTGAGCTGCCCCAGGCCCGCGCTCGCCTTCCCCCAGTGGCCTGCGTGTCTTTCCTAATCCTTCCCATTAGATGTGCATTCCCGAGAGGTGGGCGGCTTGGGGCAAACAGCTGAAGGAAGACTTTGGGGGACGCACCAATTTGCAACATTTTTTTGATGTTACTGTTTTTTTGGAAATTGTTTTTTACAGCAAGGTTTTTTTTAGAACATGGTTTAAGTTTTTCACTCACATATGATACTGTAAATACTTAATGAAAGTCTTAAGTTTGTATATAAAGGAACCCAGTGTTTGGAGACATACAGATCATAAGGTCTGGGTCCTGATACTGTTATTTCTAGATATTTATGGTGTGAACCACGCCGTGCCATTTAAATGTTAGAATTGCCTGAGAAAGTTCTGCTTCTTTAAGGCTTAGCACAAATGTACAGGTTAGGTTTCCTTACTGTAATTTCCAAAAGAAATCCTTTTCTAAGGTGGTTATATGATTCTTCCAAGCTGAGTAAGTTCAGGATCAGATTATGAAGCTCTGCCATTTTGACACATTGGCCATTTTGTCATTTCTACCACTCAGCATAAAATTTTTGATAGATTGCACTAAACGCATTATTGGAGGTGGGAGGGGTGTCCATTAACTAGCCCTCCATGTACTTGTCTCTTTTCTTCTGAGTTGAATGACTTAGCCACAACCCAATGGACTGTTTTTGCTTCAAGGTGTATTTGCTTTTTATGAATTTGTACATACGAATAGGATTTTTGTGTTGCAAAAAAAAAATTGCATACATTTTATGTGAGTAAAATTTTGTACGAAGTAGTTTATTAAATTGTATCATAAAATTTATTTTTATTTTATACATAAATCATTAAAAACAATCACATATTTTTTCTATAAGTGTATGGGTTGTGCAGTTCAGTTCACAGCTGGAGAAAACATAAGCATTTGGATTTTTGTATTTTCAAACGTGTATATTTTGTTTTCCTTGTGAAGAAAGTTCAGGGAAATTTATCTTTTCATTCATATCGTGACATTTATCCATCTTCTGTATAAAGTGAAGTTTTATAAGACATAAGCATTTGTCAGAAACTTCAAGATCATTCATGAAGTTTTAGGCAGTCTCTCTGATTATTATGGTATCTTTATCAGATACACGATGAGTCCTGATGTTATGTATTACTTTGAGAAAATACACAAGGGGGTTATTAAACCTTTACCTCTACTTTGGCTTGGACATTTCCAGGAAGTACTGAAGTCTCCCTGCAGGAATTTTAATTTAAAAGTTGAGCTGACATTAATTTATATTCAAAGAAAATGTGTAAACCTTAGGGAAAAAAAAATTCAGGACTAAAATGTGAGCTTTCTGCTTTGATATTCATGCTTATTTTTCTTTTCAGTAAACAACTTAAACAATGTTCATGACCAATCTGTGATGAGAAATGATATCACTCTGTGACACGGAGTGCGGTTAGGATGTTGGGTGGTCCAGAGTCCCATCCTGCGCCCCGACAGGCGCCCCCGAAGCATGCTTGCGCTTCTTGGCTGAGCTGCACCGAGCTGACTGCATCTGTCTGCTGTTGGTGTGTGGGGTCAGGGCGCGTGACTGGGAGCAAGGGCAGCAGGGCCTGGACCAGCCTGTGAGCAAACACATGGATGTCCGTGGTCACGGGGATGACCGGTTGCTGGAGCTTCCACGAGAATCGGCTTCAAAGGAGGCCTGTACAACAAGACCATGCCCACTGCGAGGGAGGATATTCCACACAGACTCTGCGCCCAGCTCCAGAATCTTCCACACACACCCAGGATGCCTCCCGAGGAGCCAACCACAGCCTCGTGGGCAGGCTTCCGTGCGGTCCACCGTAGCAGAGGGTGGGAGTGAGATGGGCAGTTGTGTGAGCTGCTGAGGCGGGGCAGAGGGCAGCGCCCCTGTCAGGACCAGAGGGGAAATGCGTCCTGCCCTTGGGCTCTGAGTTGAACTGTCCCATGATGCACTTTATTAATAAACGTTTTCTATTTTCCCAAAAGGTGTTCTGATAGGTATAGTTTTACCAGCCTTGCAGTAGGGCAGAAGTGAGGCCCATACACGAGTCCCTGTTTTGCCTGTTTCAGGTGTTTTCATAAAGGAAGATTGGGAAGGACTTTTTTTTTCCCCCCCGGCTAGTAAAAAGAAATTTAAATGGTTTTTAAACTGTAACTTTTTTAAGTCCATATTTAGAGCTGAGTTCCAGATTGATGATCGGCTTCTTAAACCAAGCAAGTGGGTCTTCCTGGTAAGAAAACGGGGTTCAAACAGTGAAGTCCATAAACCACAAGGAGGCCGTGCACCATTAGGCAGGGGGGGTCGGGGCTTTGTGAGCGGCCGTGGTCCCGACACCCGCTGCTCCTCCAGGGCCTGAGCCCCCAGCGCCGCCCGCCAGCCCGTCGGGAGGCCGCGGGACAGGAGGGCCTGCCGCCAGACCTTCGCAGCGCTTGTGCTGGTTCCCGTGGTGCTCTCATGTCTCCCGTGCACGTCTCAGGACAAGCTTTGTGATGCTGCCGTCACCACGACCTCGCACTTAAATCCCAGAGCACTCAAGGTTCCCCATCAAAACCTGCGTGAAAGCCAGTATTTTAGTGGACGACACCAGCTGGTGTGTGCGGGGCTCGCGTCCTGGTGGACGCTCGTGTGCACACGTGCGGTGCTTACTGTCCCCGCCCAGGCTCTGGGGGCGCTGGCCCTCCCCCAGGGGGTGGTCACCGTCCTGATCTGCTCAGACTTTCCTCGAGGCGAAATTTTAGCAGCATCCCTCTGCCACCCCCAGCCGGGTCCTGGTTTGGACAGCCGACGACGTGGCCCTCTTCCTCTCGGAAACCTGCCGTCGGGGTCAGCCAGGGCGCTCGGGTGTCCGGTGCCCACCGAGCGCCAGCGTGGGCAGCAGCTGGGCCCGCCGGTGACGTTAGTAAGCTGGGTCGGGGGATGTGCTGTCGAGACCGTGGACATCTGACGAGGCTTCTGCTTCCCTGGGGACAGACGTGGGGATGCGTTTGCATTCAGCACTGGTGGAAGGACCTTGGCGTAAAGGCCCCTGTCGCTGAACTGATGTTGCCCTGAAGGGGGTTCCTGGCGGGCCTCTTCTCTCGGACGTCTTTACCGATGATTTGGAGGAAGCTGGGGGAAGTGGGTCTGTGTAATTCACAACTGCATGAACGAGTGCGCAGGCCCTGGGCACTGAAGAATCGACTCAGGACATGGGAACGTGAAACCGGGCCAGCCCTGATTGGGTGAAAGAACAGGAAGAACCGTGAGGGCGGTTCCAGGCGGGTGACCAGGCGGCGCCGCACTTGGGATGTCGTGGGGGGGTGCGGAAACCCCCCGGGGTTCCCTGATGAAGCCAGCGCTTCGACCTTGGGAGGTCGCCTGCTGGTCCGGGTGCCCCCAGAGCCCAGCAGGACACCCTGGTGACAGTGTTATATGTAAAAAATCTTTTTTTTTTTTTTTAAAGAAACTTACCCTTTCTGGGGCGCCTGAGTGGCTCAGTCAATTAAGCGTCTGCCTTTAGCTCAGGTCATGATCTCTGGTTCATGGGGGGCTCCCTGCTCAGTGGGGAGTCTGCTTCTCCCACTCCCTCTGCTGCTTCCCCTGCTTGTGCTCACTCTCTCTGTCAAATAAATAAGTAAAATATTTAAAAATATAAATTAATGAAACAGCATTAACTTCTGACTAGATACGTAAATCTGGGAATTTAGTGTCTGATAAATACGGTATTTCAAAGCAGAAGCATTTCATATTGTTGTCCAAATAAATGGTATTGGAGCATATGGTCATCCACATGGCAAAAATAAAATATTCTTGCCTCATACCACATACAAAAATAAGTTTCCAAAACATTAAAGAACTTAAAAAATATGAGAATACTAGAATGATCGAAGACCACTTTGTATTTATCATGTTTGTAGATATATTTTTATTATTTATTGATATATTATCATACTAATACATTTATGTTATTTATTATAGTTTTATTTTGTGAGCGGTAACAATATATAGGAACAAAGCACCTAGGAGAGAGCATAGTAAGTGCTAAATATGTTTTGGGGTGAAGAAGAACTTCCTAAAAAAGACAATTTCCAGAAGCCATAGATGAAAAAAAAAACCCTTGGCTCATAAAAATTAAACGTTTCTAGCCAAGCAAACGTAAAAAATACAGATAGCCCATTGGGAGAAATATTTGCAACATCTCTAGCAGAGGTAATATTCATAGTAGACAGAGACTTATAATAATAAGAAAAATACTTATGGCCCAGTTGGATGCTGGAAGAAAGATACAGTCAGTTCACAGAAGATGCCAGTGATCGAGAAGCGCATGAGACCCATGTTTAACCTTACCGGGGAGAAATAACGTGGCCCGGAGTCTGGAATCCAAATAGGAGAGAGTTACCTGGGTTGGAATCCCAGCAGGTCAGGCGCCCTGCCCTCCACCTGTGGAGGGCTCGTGTACTAGCTTGTGACTTTGGGCAAGTGGCCGAAACTTCTTGCCTCCCTTTCCCACATGGCACTTACTTTATGGTTTATTGTCAGAGGACAGATGCTTTACTGATTGTAAAGTACAAAGATCAGTAATCGGCACCCAGTACGCTCTACACAAATATTGGCTGTTACTCATGATCTGTGTTAATACCACGCTGACACAATTTTCAACCGGCAAAAGTTTAAAAGATTATATTAATACATGGGGTGATTGAGGATGTGGTGGTATAAATTGTTTAGTACTTTTAAAGGGTGTCTTGAAATTACTTCTCAAAATTAAAGACGGGAATATTCTCCTGTCCCAGGAGAAAGCTGAAGCAGAGACATGACCGTTGTCTTCAACTATAAGGGCTGGTGGGGAGAGGAGGAACCTGTGCTCTGGGGCTGGAGGACTGACCCATGGGTGAGATATATGGAGTGGTAGACTTTGGGTCTGAATAAGGAAGGAGTCTCCCCTCCTACAGAATGGTTCCAAGATGATGTGGATCGTCCAGGTAGATAGTGAGCTCCCCATCACAGGAGGTGTGCAAGCAGAACCAGTTGACCACTTCTCAGGGATGCTGTTGAGGATTCCACTGGGTGCCCCCACGGCTACTACCAGACCTCGCCTACCCCCAATAAGGAATAAACCACCCTGCCATCCCAGGTCTCCACCCCAGCCCCTTACTGCCCTAGCTGCTGCCCCAGCATGCTCACCCTCTCAGGTACATGGGCTTGAGCTTCATGAACCCCCTGTAAGCCGAGCCCAGCTGTGGTCGCTGCCCCCGCCCCTCCCCGCCCCGAGGCCCCTCTCACTTCTCACAATTTCCCTGGAGAGGCCTGTCTGGCCCCTGACGTGCCCCCCTCCAGCCAGGGAGCCTACTGTCCTCCTTCTCCCCTGAACAGACACTGCCTCTTGGGACCTTTGTCACAGCCCTGGGAAGCCGGGGGAACGTTGCAGGACCGGGTGTACCTCCCCTGGAGCAGATACTGATTGGGACAAGTTCATTCGCCAGTTTTCCTGCCTCACTCACAAGCAGCCTGTTTGAGATCCTTCCGGGATTTTCCAAAATTGTCGTTTAAACTCCGGGGCAACGCTGTCCTTTGTGATCGCGTGCCTGGCACTGCCTGGGGGGCCTGTAGGTTTATAGCGCTTTGAACCTCAGGGCTAGAAATTCCCTGTCCCGGATGCCTCTCTGCTGTTTTTTGGGGGCTGCAGGGGAAAAGAACCTTCCCGGTGGGAAACTGTTTACAAAGACCCTTCGCTCCCACTTTGTCCTGTGAGCCTCTCCAGGGCTGGGAGTCAGGCCTTCTACCCACTTCACGGTTGAGAAACTGAGGCTGTGGGAGCAAGTGGGCGGCCTCTGCCAGCTCTAAGTCCCAGGCACCTTCGAGGTAAGTGGGCCGGCGCCGAGCCGCAGAGCGTGGGGCTGGCCTCAGGGCCCTGGCGAGCGGTCTGCAGGGGGCTGCTGGCTGTTGGCCTGGTTGGTTCTGTCGTCTGAGCGAGCACAGAGCTAAGAAAGGGCGAGGCAGTGACTTAAGTCCCTGTTTGTTTTGTTTGCTGCCACAGCAGGGGGCCCGCCAACCCGAGCCGGGCATCTCTGACAGGTGACAGCGGGCTGCGGGGCACCCCCACCCTGCTCCAAACCCCGCACCGGGGCTAGACCTTGGGACTCAGCACAGCCACCGAGCGCACAGCTGCCACATCTGGGCCAGTCCGTGGCGCCCCCAGTACCGTGGGGACCCATGAACGTGTTTTAACTTCTTTTTTTTTAAGATTTTTTTTTTAAAAGATTTTATTTATTTATTTGAGACAGAATGAGAGAGAGAGAGAGAGAGCACATCAGAGGGGGGAGGGTCAGAGGGAGAAGCAGACTCCCCACCGAGCAGGGAGCCCGATGCAGGACTCGATCCTGGGACTCCAGGATCATGACCTGAGCCGAAGGCAGTCGCTCAACCAACTGAGCCACCCAGGCGCCCCGAACGTGTTTTAACTTCTTTTATAGTCCGAAAAAACAATGAACTTTTGGGTCAGAGTAGATGTTTTAATATATGCTATTAATATATTCATCTTTACATAGACACGGTTGTATACTTTTCAATGATTTTGTGGAGGAAGGGCCCACAAAGGCACGAGAGCGTGGGGCCGTAGTGTGGGCTCCCGTGTGGCTGGACCCACCTCACAGCTGCCCTCACTCTGCTCCCGGCCCAGGGACGCGCCCAGGGAGCCGAGAGAGCCGCCTTCTCGGGTGGGTTTCCCTTTCCAGGGATTATGGCTCTGAAGGAAGGTGTCTCTGGGGCGATTTCAATACAAACACTGGGATGTGTTTAAAAATGGAACGCTCGATGCAAATCTCCTGAGCCACGGATTTTAAGCGCGCAGCTCGTTCGGATAGTTGTGAAATCAGAGCCTCGGCCGTGGGCTTGGCTGTGGCAGCCTGAGGCGCTGTGTGCGCCCCTCCCCGGTGCCCCCAGCTGCCGTGGCCCCTGTGGCCTCCGTGCCCCCCGTGGCTTGCGCACCCAGCCCGACTCCTCTCCTGCAAAACCATTGTGTGTCCCCATCTTTACACCTGCCCAAACAACTGTGTGTGGCTAAAACTGGATCCCTTGGCCGTGGAATGAGGAAGGTCACAGCTTGTAAAGGGCACGGTGGTCTCTGGGGTGAGGTGGACCGTGTGTGTTGGGGTTCCCCTCACTAGCCCGTCAGCCGTGGGGCGCCTCCTGTGCTCGCCGGGCCGCCCCTCCGACGCCCAGACACCGACACCCCGAGGGCCTGAGCTCCGGTCACCCTGGTCGCCTGCGCAGGGCGGGCTGGAGCTGTTCTACCCGCGAGTGTTACCCTTCGGGAAGTTTGCGGGACCTTATGGTAAAAACAAGGGCAGTCAATCCTGGAAATTCATCACTTAATGACCTCTCACATTTTACGCTTTCGGCCCCGGCGGGAGTCTGGACACCGTGGAGACGGGCACACGGAACAGAGACACGGACGACGGTGCGCGTTGGCTTGGAATGCGCTCTGCAGCCATCGCAACGTGAACAGCACAAAGCCAGGGAGGGGATTTTCAGGACTTGCAGGACTCAAGACTACTGTCCAGTCCAGCAAGGAGCTTGCTCATGTCGCGGCTGGGCAAGCGACGCCTGTCCGCAGGTCTTTCTGGCTTCGCTCTCATCTTGCTTATTAAATACCTGAAAATATCAGCCCACATTCACATCAGAACCACGCTTGTGAATCGCAGCCAGAGGCTGGCTGTGGGTACAGGAGTTCAGCAAAAATCAGCAAGAGCCTTCTCTGAGGATGATTGTATGGGATTGATGGTAAAGAGTACTGTGTATGATTTCTGAGTTGTGTGCTGCACATCTTTGTATCGATCATATTTTTAAAATACATAGGTATTACATCACTGTTAGTCTTTATAATTCACCTCCCCTGGACCAGGAGAGGAGACGGTCTCCAGTTTTGGTCCTCTCCGTTCTGACGGGGATTTGGGGGGCAGGAGGGTCTCCTCCTCCCAGTTCTGGGCCCCTCCCACTTCAGGGCAGCCCCCGGAAATCTCCCCTTGTGAGTGGGGGTTTTCCTCCCTTCCCAGACCATCTCCTTCCATACTGGTTCTTCAAGTGGCATTTCCCCGGCAGCCCAGCAAAACCGCCTCTTGAGGTCACAGCTCCCTCAGGCCCTGTTTTCTGGAACAGGTGCATCCGGGGGCTTTGGATGTGGCCTCCTTCCCCTTGACTGAGCGGGCTCCAGGTCCAGACCTAGGGGTCTGGCGCATCGCATGGGGGCTCCAGAGTCAGAAGGAGCCGGAGGACTGCGGGAGATAGGAGGAGGTGGGGGGGCATTGCGCACTGA